AATTGACAAGTCCACTATGTTGACAGTAAAGAACAATGCTTGTTTTGGTGCTGTGTATTTCTCAGGAGGATAAGTACAAAGATATGTCCCATGTGCTTCCGGGGCCCTGCCAGCATCACGGATGGGGGCAGAGTGCACATTTACCTTATACACCAAAGTGAGGAGGCTTTCTAAAGATAGATCCCTGGACAGAGTTTTTGAATTATGACCGCTACTTTGAAGATTTCTCTTAGGAAATAGTCACCACTGGCAGCACATTTTAGTGACTCAGAATGGGCTGCAAAACTTGATATTTTGTTTGGCATTTTCATCCTGTTCAACAAACACAAATCTGCCACTTCAGAAGAGAATGGCAACTGTGTTCTAGTCAGCAGATAAATTGGATGCATTTGAGGTGAAGCTGAAATTTGGAGGTTGATGCGTGAACACTGGGCTGTTTTCCCTCCCTCTTTTGTTAGTGTGTGTTTGTGATGCATAGTGAATACATTCTCCTGGGGCATTGGCACATAGCTGTATTACATCTTGAGCCTTTTACATTCCCTTCATCTCTCCTCTCTTCCTCCTTCCCCATCTCCCTCTTGTCTCCAGTGGATTATCTATTATAAACCTTAGCCTTTGTGTAACTATTACACTTTATATTTAAAATTCTTTACACCCCCCCCCCACTGGAGATCAAACTCGGGACCTTGTGCTTGCCACACGAGTGCTCATGCCACTGAGCAGTCTCCCTGGCCCAGATTTAATATTCTTTTCTATGTACCATACATTACAAAATCTTAAAATCAATAAGGCTCTAAATCTGAAAATAAAGCAAGAAATGGGGACTTTAAGAGATTAATCTGTGCATTCTAATATTGTTCTTTTATGTATAATTCTTAGATGATGCGTTTTTTCCTTTCAAAAATGTAGTTATCTTTTAAGTGCTTCTGTCATGTTTTTACTAGTGATAATACAATAAAATCAGAAGCTTTCTTTCCTTACCTGTTTTATTTAAGTGCATTTTCATTTCTTTTATCTCAACACAGAGAACAGTTGTGTGAGGCTGTGGCAAGTAGACTAAGTAATGTAAATATAAAATGTATAAATAGGTCCTGGCACACACACATGAAGGTAATGTTGGTGGTGGTTTATGATTGTCCCGAGGTGTCCATTAACCATCAGCCATGACTGGTTCAAATGTAGCAAACTTGAGAAAAGCTATAAGTTTAGGTTACCTTATGTTCACATCTCTTTCCTAGAGCATACCAAACATCCCTATGGGGGAAATTAATGCAGTAAAACCACAAACAGTATAGTAAATGAGGCATAAAAAATTAAATTACTTAAAATGCACGGTTGTGTTATTTCAAGGTCACTATAATATTTAGTCTAGTTTGTGTGATCAGCACTGTGAGTTCTGGAAAAAACTTCTGAAGCCAGGCTGGTCCATTCAAATGCATTGGATTCCCTGCCTTAAAAAATTGCTTCATAGTGCCAGGTGTCTGCTCCTGTTTTGCTTGTGTGTGTGTGTGTGTGTGTGTGTGTGTGTGTGTGTGTGTGTGTGGTGTGTGGTGGTGTGTGGTGTGGTCCTGGAGACTGAACTGAGGGCCTTTCACATGCCAAATGAGCACTGAGCTATATTCCCCTGCCCAAGAAAGAGAATTAGTCTTCATAACATAGAAGGAGGTAATTAGGTTTTTCATATTAAAACATGTTAAAGCAAATTCTCTTCAAATTGTGGTACTAGAGATTGAGCCCAGGACCTTGCACATGCTTGGTAAATGCCATACCACTGAACCACATCCCTAGCCACTACTCTGTTTTCAGTATCTGTGTGGTAATAGCATGGCTGAATGAAACTTTTAGGATGAGAGAGGTGATTCCAGTGACCCTGTTGCCTTGAGACCTGTTTTATTTACCTAATCAAGGACTTGATCGTAGTAACATCATTTGGAGTTTCATTTAAGTCCTAGAGAATGACAGCTCAAAGAATACGAGGGCTAGGTCTTCTTGTTAGTTCAGGGTGGCTTTCCTCCCTTCCTCTTTCCTGGCTCAGCTACCATGATGTTCTCTAGTCACTTCATCTAATCCATATTCCCAGGAGGTGGAAAGGGTGAAAGGACAGAGCCAGTTGCAGTTCGCCTTCTCTCTCTGGGCTAACCAGTATAGGATTTTAATGTAGAGAAAGCAGAAATGTTTTCATGTTTACATACTTAAAAGAGAAGCTTTGGTTGTATTAGACTAATCAAAAAAATCCATAGGGTATCTATATTATATAATCATTAAAATGTAAGTCTTATTCTCTGAAGGTTTAATTGTAGTTTGGATGAGTTGGTGGAACTTTAAGGGAACACTTGGGAGTAACAATTTGTTTAATCTTTTTTTTTTTTTTTGGGGAACCGGGGATTGAACTCAGACCCTTGCGCTTGCCAGGCAAGCGCTTATTCTACTGAGCCATCTCCCTGGCCCCAACAGTTTGTTTAATATTAACATGAGGATAAATAGTATGATCCTAAAGAGAGGCATACAGGATAATAAATGAAAGGAGGTTGGTGTAGCTTTACTTCATTGGCCAGCTAGTATTCTGGAATTTCTACATCAATAAAATACAAATTTTGTATTTTATTAGTGATGAAATGTTTTGCCTATAAGTGGTGATATAGCTCTGTAGTAGACCACTGAATTCTAGCCCCAGCTCTGAGGGATGGGTAGAATGAAAAAGTTTCTTACAATTGTGCAGGCCAGTTATGAAATTCTTTGTTAAGTGTTCCTAAGTTCTAAAGAAATTCTGGGTTTAAATCTTTAGCTTTAGCCTTGAGTGATGGTCAGGAATAGGAAGAAGTGACACAAAGGTTTTACCTTTCTTCTTCCATAATCTCTCATTCTTGAACTCTACTATGTAGAATAAATTCAGATTTTGACCTGTTATTAACATAAGAGTTTAGAAGCTTAGCTTCTTTCTATAAGCTGCTGAGTACATTCGTCTTTCCTAGACCATCACTGTGCTTTGGTAAGTGCTTTGAGACCTAGAAGGTGGGACAGGATTATGGCTGCCTCTTTACTCCCTCCTGTTCTGCTTTGTTACCGGGTCGCACAGGGGTCTGTCTCCTCCCACATAGTGCACTTTCTTCGTATTGGAGTCCAGGTCAAGGTCTTCAGCACAGGCTGTTTCTAGGAAGTGTGGGATGAGTGCTCTTTCGGGTCCTCCTCTGGTCAGCAACCCATGTGGAGCCATCGAGCCAGAATGAAGCCACACCCTTGTGCAATAAAGACTTACCTGCTGCTTGGCACAGTATTTCCAGAAATGGTACCAATATCCCACTCCATGTTGTGGCAACTTAGTCACCTCATTGATATAAATGTAAATCAGTAGTTATTTATTGCATTTTTAAGATTACATTGCATTTACTTATTTCTCTCATCATCACTTGAAAACTAATTCCTGATTATTATTCAAAGCTAAATTCAATCTCCCCTTGATAGACTCCTGACTGACTTTTGTAAAAAATAGGTGCTCCTTGTAGACCCTTCACCAGATCCTTAAGGAACATTTTGACCATCTCTGCTTGCAGTTATGGATTTCTTTTTCCACTGAGTTTGTGGCTTTCTTAGTTTCTTTTAATATTTCTTATATAGTTTTACCTTGTTGATAGAATTCTACAATCTACATTGTCATATTTTTTTAATAAAGAAAATGTGAAACCCCTACTTTATTTATTTATTTATTTATTTATTTATTTATTTTTGCATTGGACTCCTGGTCTGCAGAATTGGATAAATCATGATCCTGCTTAAAGACACACTGTCATCATTGGTCTCTTCATGGTTACCTATGTTTTTGTTTGTTTTACATGTAATACTTGTCAGCCCATTCCTGGAGACTTTTGAGAACTATAATGTCCCTATAATTAAAGCCATGATTATGTGAATTTCTAATAGCTTGCTTCCTTGTCTTTACCTTACCAGTATACTGGTTTTTATGTCAATTGTTCCTTTAACATTAGAGAATATTTTTATTCATGATTGAATTGTTAATATATTAACCTGTCCTTGCTTTTGAGCTTTTCAAAAAATGCTCCCATATTGTTTACTATTCTCTAAGACTTACTGGTAACTCCAAATGATGTTACTAAGATCAACCCATGGAATGGTGGCTGTGTTATTATTTTTTTGGGCATGTAGTTGCTAGTATAAAAGGGAGTTGTTGCTATATCTTCTTGAGTTTAATGACTGGAGCCCTGTAATTTATATTGGCCAAAAAAATTAATAGGTTAAAAGATATACTGTATATGCTATAGAGGTTTTCATAGAAAAGAAATGAAGACTCATAGAAGGCTTATACCCAAGTACTTGTACCATTTTAACAGAGTAATGGAGTCATAGAGAAGAGATGATACAAAAGGCTTTGGGCTTCCACAGGCAGTGAATTATGGGAAGGAAAATCCATGGGGAAAACTAATGGAAGACAAGGTAGAAGGAAGGTGGGGCTTGCTCGTACAAACCTGTCTTCCTTCCGAGTTCCTGACTCCAGTCCTGTTCCTCAGTATCTTCTTGGAGATTTTGGAGAACACCTCACACCTGGTGGAGTTGGAGTCCTCTAAAAAAAAGCCCACACACTGCCTTTAGGCAAAAAGGAAGAGGAAGCTTTCTTATATTGGACATTTCACAGTTAGCTTCAGCTCAAAATAATCCATATCCCACATATCCCACAATAGTGTGCAATCTCTATTTCAAGATTGCACACTGTGTGCACATTCTCACTAGCAATATATACCAAACACACTCACTCGCTATTGGGTATTGTCAGACTTATTTTTTAAAATGATGTTTTGTGTATTTTCATTCTCTTTATTACTAAGAATTTAACATTTCTTCATATCTGTATTGTCTTAGGAATAAGTTTATATCTGTATTAGGAATAAGTTGATAGTTGATTTAATTAGTTGAAATGATGTGATATTCATGAAAATCTAATTAGTAACTTCTTGTTTACATGATACATATGTATTTTTAAATTTCAGATTCCTGTTCATCCTGTACCTGACCCCTTAGTTCATGAAGTTTTAAACTTAGCTTTTAAGCACTTTAAACATAAGGAAGGGTAAGTAGTGTGCTAACTTGGGCTTATTTTTTTTCTTCTTGACTTAACTTATGTATGTTAGTACATACTCATAGTACATAATGATTACATTCATTGGGAGCAGTTGGTACATGTACATGACGCATCTTAATTTTCTCTTTCTGTTCTCATACCCCTCCCCAACCTCCCTGGTCCCTTCAGCTCTTGGTTCTCTTCCCATTTAAAAAAACTTTATTTTCATTTTCTTTCTTCAGCTCTTTTTAAAATTCCTTTTCCCTTTCTTCCCTCCATCTCATTTCCCCATCCATTTGAAAAAGATCTTCCTACTTCTCATTTGTCTATCTTGTATTTTGTGAATCGTTTGTATACATGTATTGGGTTTCTCATTCAGAGAAACCATGTGATACTTAAGCTTACTTAATATTATGATCTCAAGGTGTGTCCACTTACCTATGAGTGCCTCAAGTCTATCTTTATGGCAGGGTAGTGCTCTGTTATGTATAAATACCTCATTTTTTTATTGAGTCATCTGTTGATGGGCATATGATGTTTCTTCAGCTGTTATAAATTGTGCTGTTATAAACATGGATATGCAAGTATCCCTTACAAGACAATGGCTTTTCTACCTAGTGCACATTAAGACTATCCAAATATAATTTGCATTCTTACTGATCATTTGTTTTTAGAGTTTAAAATACTTATCTTCACATTTCTTTTGAATCTAAACAAAAGTCTTATAGGAAAGATTTTGTAAAAATAATTCTTAACACTATAGATTGGATTTATAATATCAGCAGGTTAAGATTCATGACAAATTAAAACCTAGACAAAACAAAATTCATGGGTTTATCTTATAAATTAATATTCAGGAAAACGTATAATACTCTGATAAGGAACTTTAAGAAAGAACCTTTGTAGAAACACTCAGTGGATGTTTTGTTTGTTCTTTTATCTTTTTTTTTTCTATAAATACCATGTAGA